CAAATGGAAAACAAATATTCTCAAAGGCTTGAATGAGGAAAAACAATCTAATAGCTCAGTGCCATTGACAATAAAATTAGCACATCAGACAAATTCAATCATCTGAGGGCTCCACAGAGATCATGAACAAGGTGGGATCACTAAAGTGCAAGTGATGGGATGCGTAGGCAGAAGAGATGATAAATGGGGAAAAGCCAATCATGATACAAAGCTTTTAATGTCGAGCAAACAGACCATTTATTCGATGAAACTTAAAAACACTGCTACTTGTAGATGGAGAAGGATTCAAACTCCACCATATGAAAAGAAGTACAAATAGTAAATAAAAAAGCAGGAGCATAAACTTAAGGCACTCAATTTGATTTTACTCTGATGGCATGATACAAAACGTACCCAATACAAAACCGGCAAGAGAAATATTTATCACAGGTGATCTGGATTGAATGTTTGGGTGGGAATATACAACTTTGTTATTCTTCTCCAGCACCAGGACATAAACAGCCACAACCTGCGAATATTACCAAAAGCTAAAACGTAAGAACCAAGAAAACACAATACAAATTGGTGTCTGAGATAGACATTATCCATTTCGGAACAATTGAGAGAGAAACCTAATAAAAAGATAAGTCCATCCACTTTGTAGAGCATGATAATTTAAACGTAGAGCATGACTTACCCTGCAGTGGAATTGCACTGCTTTATGCTCCAAGCTATGCAGTATTTCAGATATCAGGGCTGCAGGAACTGTATCCAGAGTGTAAGCCGTGTGCAAGCCTGAAGCAGCTGATGAATTATTGCACTCAAGAATATATCGGTCATTGACTGTTTGTATCGAGTTGAGTACAATGAAAGATGCAGGTGTCAACATAAGTTCTTTCTGCCTGATGAAAATATTGAAGTTTACTCAAATTAATTAGTATACATCTTTAAGGGAACCAATGGATAAATTATAACCGAATTTAGAATAATCTGATAAACCCACGTATAGCACAGTGAAACAACTGAAAGCTGGCAATACAGGCATGCCAATTACTGCATGAGCTTGAACACATTGGGTCATTGATACATTTCATACATGATTCGACAAGCAAAATCGAAATTCTTATATCAGGACCCTCCTTAAGAAAGAAGGATTCTATGGTAATGTTCAGGCATATATGAATGGACAAGCACATATCTTTTATGGCTTCAATACATGCTAAGCTTTCTACAAACTCATTCCCCACTTATTGCTCTCACAATCATAGTGAGTAAATACATCAATCAAGAAACTTCACTTTCTTTGCAACATGACCTCTACCGAAAAACTGTCCATAATTATGTCATTGACTGTAAAAAGTATAATAGATGGCCGGGTTAATAGGTGTACACTAGATAACAGTTCCTTCAAAATTGAGAAACTTACAACTTTCTTACACAGATTAAAATTTTGTCTACATCAACATTGATATTTGTTTTGACAACCGTGTTTGAAAATTAAGCACCAGGGCTGCTTTGAAAATTTTGTACAATTGGTGACAATCCATATATTTCAAAGGGAAAGAAAAAAAGAAAGAAAGAGAGGGCAACTAAGTGCTAAATGGTAAGTGTTAAGCACAAAACTTGGCCACATGCATTGAAAAGTACGTACCCCAATACAAGTATTCGGTGGAAGGTTGCATTTACACCAGGTCCAAATCCAATCGGATATGGATGTAGACTCAAGTCACCAAGAATTTTCACCTAATCAGTTGAACAATGACATAAGCAACTGCAACTACCTAAAATTAAAAACACAGAATGAAGGATAAGAAGAAAGCTGGCAATTACAACGTGAAGGTCAACCAAAACATGGATACAAATACTGCTGGTTAATCTTTGAAAGAAATTTGGTCGCTGAACATCACTGGGACTCTTTTGGCTCAAATGTGATGCTGGAGAACTGTGCTCCAAATTATGAACAGCCAACACGTGTCCATGCAAAGATATTAGATTTCCCTCAGGCAAATGGCAATAGGCATCATATGTTCCAGAAGATTGCACAGACGTAGTCATCATACTCCCAATGCCCCGAGAAATGTTATCCACCCCCTCAAGTGAGACAGATGGCTTGATTAGACCTTCTTCCAACGACTTAAGATCTATCTCGACAAGACTTAGAACATCAGACGAGAGAGAGAGAGAGATATCTGAACAGATTTCAGGGCATCCACTGTTAAATCTTAGCAATGGAGAATCATTTCTATGAGAACCTTCAGATAGAAACTCCTTACTGCTGACAAATGAACTGTGGAATGAAGAAACATGTGATGGATCTACACTAGGGAAAACCTCATCAGAAGAGAATGAAAGGCTCCACAGATTAGTTCTAGAAGTGATAACTATTCTACCACCACTGACAGCATTGAAGTCCTCAGATGCACATAATGGATCTTCCTTATGCGGCTTTATGAGGTAATAGCCACCAATCCTCAATAACTGCAATTTAGATGAAGACAAAGACAGCTTCGGTTACACTGGCAGTAGAAACACAAAACACAATGTTAAAAGGATAGAAGCGCACCTCATACTTGCAAAAGCTTTCGGGGTGAAACTCCAGTAATACCTTCAATCCATTCAAATTGCAACCAGAATTAACCTTTAAATTAGTTTTTGTGCAATGCAAGATTCCTGAACCAATGGGACTGGGACCATTAACATCTCTACAAGTAACGAAGCATGGAAGTTCGCACGGAGACCTCAAATCACAACATTTCAGCTCCTCTTGACATATCTTGCAAGCACTTGAGCAACAATTCATCCGGCACCATGATCCATTTCTTGTCTCTCTTAAGCCACAGCTCAGTGCCCCACCAGATGCCCTATCGATTTTGCATCTCTTGTGAGCAACACATTCCTCATAATATATACTTGCATAACCTTCTGCGGGTTGTCTCGAGTGTCCCGCAGAAAGCTTACTTGGACATGCATCTCTATCTTTCTCAGCAAGAAACAAGTCCCAGGGAAGGATTCTGGCCTCAGCGTGTATGCTTGACCTGTTTGAAATAACTTGATCACCTTGAAACTGAGAAAACATGTATATGAATGAAGAAATTTATGAGAAAGAATGCCTATCCCAACCATCTTTTTCAATCTAGTGTTTGCAACAAAACTGTACCTTTTGTAGCACAGGAAATTTGTGCGTTATCCAGAGCACGTGAAATCTTCCACTTTTAAGCTCCTCAAAATTTCCCTTTCCATCCATGTAAGGATAGAAAGGAAAGCTTCTAGAACTTTGATCTCTTAAATGGTAGTATAGATAACTTGTTAACTTTATAACTCTCACCAAGTGAACACTGTTAAATATATTTCTGCATGAAAATGATTCCTTCAAGGTCGAACCCAAATGGTTGACTTTCTCAGGTATGCCTTCCATTACAACAGTGAAGTCATTTACCTAAAAAAGCATAGCAGAAGGTTCTGTCATAGAAAAGCCTTGCAACTTCAATCAAAGTCCAGGAGCTACATGACAGAGGATAGAAAGGGAAAATATAGCATCACCTCATATATGCTGTTGATATTCCAACTTGATGAAAGGTCTGGTATAACAACATCAATGCTACCAGTTGCATCAATCAACTGTAACCTCCCGGAAGATGGGGAAATCTAATAATAAGTACATTCCCAAGATCAGAACTTATCACAGAACATCACCACTTGCTTAGTTTTTGCATTTATCGGAGTAAGGATTACAAGGTTCAAGTTAAGCATGAGTCATGAACTTCTATTTCTAGATCGATGCAAGTACCAAGAATTTCGAAATCATTTTAGCACTACAGTATCCTATCCTGCCATAGGCTGAAATTTTCAGTTACATTTGTACTCCATCTCCTTATCTATGTTCTGCACTGCTAGTGTTGACCAAACATAGATGTACTACATACTTTACTAGCATATGCACACTCAATTTGAATGTCAGTATATCACATAGCAAGCTCAGAGAACTGGAGAAATGCATAGAACTTTATTAAACTCTATATACAAAATCAGAAAAGAACTACTAACCTCTAATTTTCCAAGCAAAACAACATTATTTTCACCATGCAAAATCCTTCTAATTGACGGACCATAAGTTCTCCCTTCACAGGATATAGGGCAATATAGATTGTCATCACCTATTAAATCCAAATCAGTCTCCCATTCTAGCAACAATTTTGTCCAGGAGGTCTCGCAGTGACTGATGAAATTAGAGATGGGTACTGCCTGAAAGAATGGCACGAACACCAAATTTTATTCTTTACTAAGGTAAAACAATCCCAGCTAGCTGTAAGATTTACATCGTATAGCCCCAAAACTAACCAATTTCAAGTGACCATAACTCAATTCATTGCCACAGCCACATGAATCATGCTTACAGTATTCCATAAATACTCCATGCTGCCAAAAGAAACAGATTACAGAAGGTAAGAATCAAATAGAAAACAATAAACACATTCTCATTTGATCCAAAGCAAGCTTCTTGAATTACCCGAACATGGAAGTTTGACAGTGGCAAATGAGATCTAGCAAATTTTTGAGCCAATCCTTCCTTCTGGTAACACCTTGCAACTGTCCACATCAGCTCAGCATAATATGATACAGTAAAGGATGGAACAACAGGCTTCAAAGAATAAACAATGCAAATGAAGGCATTAAGATCAAAAGCAAGCAAATTACATGTTTTGATCCTAAGATCTCCTTCTCAGACAATATACCCGCAAACTTTTTCCTAAAACATGAGATGACAAGTAATACCCTGAAAGAAAAGCATTTTGAGTCAAAAAAAAATAAAAAAGAAAAGAATGTCAAAAACTGTGAACAAAATCTAGCAATATCCTTTACTCTCATACCAAAGTCTTGCAGAAAATACCACGGAGTCAATAAATTTCCCTAAAAGGCTCTGCAATTGTGAACCAATATGGCACCTGCGGCATATAATGCATGAAATTAAATGTTAAAACAGGAAAAGACAGTATACAGATATTCTCAAGATGACAAAGAGGCCAAAATTTAGTTTGGAAACACTAACCCAGTTTCCATCGGGGAGAATGATTGCACATACATGCTAGTTTTCATGCAAGCACCAAGTATAAGTATTTTTGTCCAAGAAAATCTGGGATTCACAAAATGGACATTTCTCACCGATACCTGCAAAGGAGCCATCCATTAGGAAAAAATAGCACATACACCCGCAGTGTTTATGAAATCTAACACCTGCTCCACTCATGGAGTACAGCCCCTAAATTTATCCAAATGAACTCAAGGGAAACAAATTTAGAAAAGTTACTTCACATACAATAGCACCCACTCTCACACTATGTGGCACAGTGAGTTGCGGGTCTGTTAGTAACAGCATTACTTCTTGATCCAGCTCCACAACCATGCCATGCATATAAATGCCTGTAACTGTGCCAACATATCCACCCACCTCTCCCCTACCTTTAATAACAGTCTTTGGAATTGGAAGCCGCTGATTTGGAAACTTAGAAAGATGCAACAAAGCTTTCTCTGTGGTCACATACATCAACTGAGACTCCCCTTTCTCCATATAAATTAATTTCTTCTTCAAACCTGATACCAAAACGACACACCCAATCAATTTGGAAATTACTGGATGCCATGATGAAGCCGACCCACAGAAGTAGACAATCACAGGTTTCTCAAAACAATGACTATTATTTTTCTGTTCACGTAAATCTTTCAATACCCTTTCAGAATCTTTTGAGTGGCACAATTTGCACTCACAAACCAAGATATTCACAAGAAAACCACAAATATTTCTTGAACCACCAGAATTGGACCCAGAACACGTCCCCTGAATTGTACACGGAACAACGGAAAGAGGGCTAACCGATTGTAATGAACCGTGAGTGTAATAGTGAGATTTGGGAATATCTTTACAGTCAGTACATGAACCTGAAAACAAAGCAAATGCTTCGGGTCCACAAGAAGATTCCAGAACACTCCACCGGATAATTTCCAAAAACCCACCTCCACATTTGAAAGGAATAAAATTCCAAGCAAGAACATGCATCACTTTTCCTATAATTCGAGGATGATGATCAATAAGGTCACAGCAAACGGTGGCTGTGCCATCGGAGAATGAAAAACAACTGGTATTTGAGCAGTGAAGAGTTGAATTCGAAGTGCTATTGTTGTTGTGAGAAGGTAGGGTTAGGGTTCCAACGAGGATTGTTGGGTGGTTCAGAGATTTGAGGATTTTCGAGTTAGGGTTTTTGGGGTTTGTGGGACCGGAGGGTTTTTTAGGTTCATTGGAAGGTTCTGAAGAAGAGATCGAACGGCTGGGAAGGACCGATGATCCGCCGGTGAGTGGGCGAGATCGTCGGACGAGCTCGGAGACTGAGAGGACTTCTGTGGATCCTTCTTCCATTACATATGAATTGTACGCGTGTTCCAGCAGAGAGAGAGAGAGAGAATGGAGAGTGGATTGGTCTGAGCGGGAATGAGCGCATTTAAACAATTTTGATCCATGAGCATCTCTCTCTCTCTAGTGTTTGGGCCTACTCCAACAGGTTGGGCTAGCCCAATCAAACTCAAAATTTGTTGTAGTTGCTTACGTTATGAAGAGTCTAATTTATACGTAATTAGTTAAATTAATTTATTAATCTAATGTATAACAATCAATGAACTGGTCGAGGCTAATCAATATTAGAATCTATTATCTATCCAATAATAATAATTTATTAGTTTAATCAATTAGGTCTAAGTACCATCACTCTATCATTATTGTTCATGCCTAGGGTGGGTGGGCTTCGACTCCGATGGAATTGGATGGCATAAATCCGAACTCTGACTCCATTAATCAGAGTCCAAGCAGACTGTCAGAGATGGACATAACCCAAAAAATTAAAAAAAATACCATAATTTTTTTTCAAATATTCAGCACAATCTATATATATATAAAGAAAGAGAAAGAGTGTGCGTGTGTTACCGTTTAAGACCATCCCCAGGTGAGAGTTTCAAATTTCAATCGAAGTTCCTGAGATGTGAGATCTAAGATCTCAAATTTGTGCTTCAATTGGAGGGTTTTTCATCATCGACCAAGGGAGAGGGAAACAAAGGAGTTGTTTCGCCTGATTTCTCATAATGTTGTGTTTTAATATTGATTACATAAATATATCTAGACTAAGGTCTACTTGTAATTGGTAATCGAGTCTATTTGCTTGTAATTTTAGAACTCATTTTTGCTGGAAATCAGTTTTACAAATTTGTTGTTTTGAATTGTTTTGAATGGGATTTAGACTATTAAACTTTTACTCAATTTCATTCAATGATAGATCATCAACCGTGTATATAGGCGAGGAGTCTACATATAAATAATAAATCTTACATGAATATATAGTGGATAATCTACCATTGAGTGAAATTATATGAAAAAGTAATGAAGGCAAATTACAAAAGTTACCAATAAACTTTTGGTCCAATGATATTTTTTGTCTTGTGAAGGTTTTGCCTTCTTGAGGTCAAGGGTTCAAGTCTCCTTCCCTCCCTCTCCCAAAAAAAAAAAAATTTAAAAAAAAAAAACTACGAAAGTTACCTTTTTGGATCATTCAATGATTTCAAAGCCCTCGATTTCGAATTATCAAAGAGGGAACGACACAAGGGCATTCCCTCTGTGTTTTTTTCCCCCAATGAGCAAGATGGATTGCACACTATACTGCAAAAGGTGGATTCTGATCCTGAATTCTTAACCCAACAATTTAATCTAGAGAACGTGACACTTAATGTGCATGTTTGGTTCACGAGTTTAGGTGGGATTTATAAAATGGGTTTTGTTAAAAATAGTGTAATGCATCACCTTATTCCTTATTTGTTTGTAGATTTCAAGCCTATGAACTAAATCCCGACCTATAATAAGCCAACAAGTAAAACCCATGTAAAAGGTTTCAATAAATCCATGGGGTGGGTGGGTTTAAGTAATTTCATTACAAATATCTGATGATATTTGTGATTAATTTGTGGATGTTGTATATATTTGTATCACTTACCAAACATGGAAAATGAATTGTGTTCTTATTCTAACAAATAGAGACAACCAAACCACCATATTTGGTAGTATGTCCTTGTAATTCTTCTATACACAACTCTTGGTGAATTCAATACAAAATCAATATAAAATCAAATAATTTGAATTTAATCTTCGTAGGTTTGGATAGTAAAAGAATAATCTTGTTAAACATGTTGAACAAATAAATCGACATAAATTCAACAAAACACGATACGAATCGACTATCTTAAAGGTTACACACCATATACAACTTGTAGGACAATGACAATATGCCAAAGCTCAATTTTAATCACGAATGACTGTTCATGACCCTTTGTTTGTCTATCATAACAAACGGCAGGGGCGAAGCTACTCTTTAATGTGCGACTCCTTGGGAAGACTTCAATACATAGTTTAAATAAAATATTATAATGTCCAATTTGTTTCATTGCCCCCCAAAGTTTTCAAAAATGTACAATGGCCCTTTTTTTTTGGTTCTCCCTCTGGTAAGTTAGTGGTTTATTTGCCTCTAATTGTGAAAGGAATGTTCATTTCGATATTGAATAAAACAGATACGGAATGTCTTAACTTGTGTTTATTGAACAAATACAATACCTCTGCTATTTAATACGAATGGAGGTTTGGAAATTTTTTTAATATCAATTGATTAAGTTTTTTATTTATGTTTTTGCCCCCTCTTACAAGCAACCCCTGTATTTTACATACCCAGGCCTCTTGTTATATAGTTAATATAAAATGAAGTGTGTTCAAAGTTTTATTTTTTTAATATCCATTTGGATTATTTTACTAGGATACTGCTGTCATTTTTGGAAGATCCCTTGTCGTGGTAGTCATATTTGTTTCGGTCAATATGCTTTTCAACCATTTAAACTTACTTGGATCACAACTAGACAAATTAAAGCAAATCGACAAGTAATGACACGAATATTTTCAAACAAACCAATTATAATAAGACTCACAGAAACATATATGAGTTCGAAGAAAGAATTCCTAAATATTGAGTATATGAGTTCGAAGAAAGAATCCCTAAATATTGAGTAATTGTTGTTAAACCAGGTCGAATACTTATGAAATGGGTGGAGTGACAAAAAATATAGCCAAAAAAGTTATTTCAATAAAAATATCCAAAATACCTATACGAATTCAATTCATTATTTCAGGATAAAAATGGAGAATTAGGCCTTGGGAATGAAAAAAAAACCAATCCAAGGTTTTTTTTTTTTTTAATATTTGTTCAACTTGACATGCATAAACCATAAACTGGAGTAATATTGTTTAAATTTAATTTATTAATTTATAATTGGATTGACAGTGAATTTTAAAATTAATTTAGACTCACTACCGATAGAATGATAGTAATTAGTTTAATCAGTAAATTATGTCCAGATAATATTTTTAAACTAAAAACCTTACAACCAAGATTCCTTTCTCTCAATAAAACAAACTATTCATATTTTTACAAAACTAAAGTTTCATTCAGGCCACATGCTTACAAAATCAAGTAAATAATTTTTTACTTCTCCAAAGATTTATATGATACGAGTGTCATGAAATACCACATGAAAATCATTGGCATTTTTTTTTCTCATATTATACAGGCAAATTGTCTTTGTGAATTCAAAATTGGGTTATTCATGTCGGACATTAAATTGACTCGTTTATTCTCTGAGTTAGAAGAACGTATTACTTTAAATTCGTATTAAGACATAATCAATCTTAACCTATTAACTTAATGTTTGATCCATTTTGTATTGAAAATTATACTCTTATGTTCCGTTTGGTATGATAAAAAAAATGAAATGATGTAAAGTTTGAGGGATAAATAAAACATTATGTTTGGTAAGGAAGGATGAAAAAGTGGATGAATTAACTTTCCTTCCAACTCACTAAAATCAATTCCTTTAAAATCGGACAGAAAATGGATGGAAAGTTAATTATTTGTATTGATATGTATCTTATTTGTTTATATATTATGTATACATTAATTTCATATAAAAATATAATGAAAAAATATGTGTGTGTGTGTGTATATATATATATATATATATATATATATAAATTTTAAATTAAAAAATATTTTTTTTATTTTAAGATTGAAAATTTTCAACTCAACACGATGACACGACTTGAACTCGACACAAATTTTATGTCATAAACTTAATTATAACTCCACACGAATTGAAAAATGACCTAACACACGAACAAAAAATGTAAAATTCTCATAATTTTATGATTCAACACAAATCTGACACGACATGACTTGATTATCACCCCCAATCTTAGCCGGCACAAAAAAAAAATTAGTCATTTTTATTTTTCATCCATTAACCAAATACAAAGGAAAGAAAATATATCATTCTAACTTTTCATCTTTGAAGGATAGAAAGTGTATACATCCTACTTTTAATCATTTCTATTTTTCATCCTTCTTATCAAACAGGGCATTAAATAAATGGATAACTTCCTTTTTCTCTATCATGTCTTAGGCACTGGAACGGCCATGGATTCCCCACCTTGCTCCGCCTGGGTCAACTTTCTTCTTGTTATTATTCTGATCTTCATGTTGTTGAAACTTTCTCTGCCTACTGAGAGTTTGGTGTCACGTTTTGGCTCTATAAGAATCTTGAAAACAGTAGTGTTCACGCACCAAATACCATCATTATGGAAAAAAAGTCATCAACCAACCGAATTAGGCTATATAATATATCACAAAAAAGTACTGTAGAAAAATGGGTCATAATTATTAGCAGCTCGTGGTCAATGAATATTCGTTTTTAGACTGTCAACAGAATCATCACCTCAACGGCTCTAAAACCTTTATAATAGCTTTAACCCGAACTCTTTCTACAATGATTTCTAATCAAATGTAACTTATTTTATATAATAGGACCAAGTTCAGCTAATATAATCTTTTTCAAGGAATTATAGTTAGCTAACAAGAAGTGAAGAAAGGACATTAGGTGAGAAATCAAATATGGATATAAATTCAATATGTTCGAATTTTGACAAGTCCTTATGTGAATACCCTTGTGTGGCAACCCTTTGCATAAAAGATTTATCTCTTATGAATATCCAGCGTGAATGTTCTGCCTTTAACCGGACTAGAAAGAGAATTAGTTGAAATGCACGTGAGTTGATTCGGACACTCTTTCTTTAGTTTAGATGATTCAGCAGCTTAATATTGCAAGTAATAGCCACAATAACAAGCCTACAGTGTATTGAAGTGTCCTAAATTAGATTATATCTGTTCTAATATGTTGTGTAAGTGTTTAGTGAATATGAATTATTCACTATTTTCAACACAATACCTTCCGGTAGAGTTGATGGACTCCCCCCCCCCCCTTCTCTTTCTCTCTCACATACGTTTGCTCCATTTTTAAGAGAATGATGTTACATTCGTCACTACAGCAGCATGCCTTTGAAACGCTACAATTTGGCCGTAACCAAAGAACATAAAAATATGGTTAGCCGGCCAACATAAAAAATATAACTTCATTAAATTAAACAAATCATTGACGAATGCATGAAATAAGCCACAACATACACTTGCACCCTAGTCTCCTATGCTTACTAGGAGTTAGGAGACGAGGTTTATACTGTATTAAAATTTTGAGATGCAATCAGCTAAGTTTGATTATATAAAAGAGACTCCATCTACATCATTTCTTATTACATAATCCACCTAGTACGATTACCTACATAATTAAAGTGTTCTCCTTCGTCCTCCTCGATTTACAATACTGTAAAAGTATAAGGAGATCACTTCTTCCTCCTAATTTGCTTTGGAACGGGGTTCCGTGATGCGAGAATAGAAGTAATGGATATAATAAGAGTCTTTGCATACTGGACTATCTCTTATTTATTTGGAATAATCTCAACTTGCACCTTCAAATATCATTTGAATCTCAATTTACACTTTTAAAGTTTAAAAATATTAATTTACACTTTGAAAGATATACATGCGGATCAATATGCACCTGAGATTAACTAGCATCTATTTTGCCGTTAAAAAGTGTGGATTAATTATAAATTACACCTCTTAAAATTTAAATATTTTACATTTATGATTCAAAAAGAATTTCATCAATTAATATTCATTAAATAACTCTTAATTGTATACTATCATAACATTTTTGTACCATATTTGAGTCAATAAAAAATATTTTTAACAAAAGTTAATTGAGTTGTGTCTTATATTTCACACTTATAACAATTTATATAATATTATTTAAAATTTTTAAAAAATTAAAAATACCTATTTTTTGTCTGTAATACTTGTTAAATAATTATATTTTGTCTACAATTGTATTATTCGTATTTAATTTTAATTTAATCGGACAATCAAAAGATTTGTGTCTAACTATAGATATAAAATAATTATTTAACAACTATTGAAGGCAAAAAATAGATATTTTATAATTTTTTTAAAATTTAAATTTTTTTTATTGATTTGAATACGGCACGAAGATGTTATGATACGATATAATTGAGAGTTATTTAACGAGCATTAATGTATGGATTCTTTATGGATCATAAATATAAAATATTTAAACTTGGATGATATAATTTTTTTTAACGAAAAAATGGACAAAGTTAGCTTTAGGTGCACATTGATACAAATTTATATCTTTTAAGATGTAAATTGATATTTTAAAACTTTGAGAATATAAATTACAATTTAAGTGATCTTTCGAGGTACAAGTTGAGATTAGTCTTATTTATTTTGCCCCTATAAATATATTGGGCAGAGGAAAAAATGACTAATATTCACAATATATCCAGTTAAACCTGTTTGATTGATTTGATCATGCATGTACGTACATAATATATGGCACCAATAGGAAGAGTCATTATTTCACCTAATAAGCAAGCTCTGACGTGCGACTTAGTATTATACTCAAGACTCAGCATAATCTGCATATAATTATGTTAAATAATAAAGTCAAAACAAAAAACGTCTATTGTATTGTGTGTGTGTGTGTGTGTGAGAGAGAGAGAGAGAGAGAGACAGAGAAGCAGAGAGATTCATCAATCATAAGAAACAAAAAGTATCATCCACTAACCCACAATGTTTTTCCAAAAATATAGAGCCGTAGATGCCATTTGATTCCATTGAGCATGCCTTGTCATTGTGCGAGGGAAGACAAGTAGACTAGAAAGTCAACAACTGCTCTAGCTCTATATAAACAAACAAATGGAAATAACATTAATCCCCACAAGCTGCCATTGCCATTGACTTCGAAGCGACATTTCGTGTTTTTGGCTCTTGGGTTTGCACAATCCCTCCACGAAAATGGTAATCTCTTGGTCAGAAATCAGGTGGTCTCAAGACTGTTGGAGGAAGGTGGAGGCATTGACATTTTATACGTACAGAAGAGAAATCTGACCCAACTTAATCATGAGTCCACCTTTCTGCATTGCTCTCAAGATCACCACTATATTCTCTCTCTCTCTCTCTCTCCAAGACCAAGCACAACTTTTCTTGGCTAATTAGGTTCTTTCTTGTGTCCAGGGCATTTGCAGAGATGCTAAAAACCAACCTAAACAACAAGTGAAGCTGGGAGGAACAAGAGCAGCTCTATTTGTCTATGGTATAAGAAGTTTCTATTAATTACCCAGTCCTCTGTTAAGACTTTTGTTTTGCACACATTGACGAATTGGGTCTTAATTAATGTAAGTTACTGACCAATTTGAGTGGTTGCTGTTGTTGATGGATGCAGCAACCGCGGGGCTTGAGAACATGGCGTTTATCTCCAATGCCGTGAGCCTTGTAACTTACTTCTACGGCTACATGAATTTCAGCTTGGCAAAATCGGCCACCACGCTAACCAACTTCATGGGGACTGCTTTTCTGCTATCGTTATTTGGAGGATTCATCTGCGACACCTACTTGTCCAGATTCAAGACTTGTGTTCTGTTTGGATCCATAGAAATACTGGTATGTTAAGTTCCATTCTGGCCTCCCTCTGAGAAACAAGTAGCTATATATGCATGAGCTAAGCTTAATTTAAACTCTTGCAGCCTAAGAACCTCAAATACATATAAATAGAACAAATGAAAAGCAAACAAAAGAGTACAAGCAAATTACTTATGGTGATTAGATTACCCTCTAGAAAAAAGATGAAGTAAGCTTTTCTTATCTTCAGAAAATGGGTGTTTGCGATCTGAAAAATCAATCGTTAATATATTCATGTATATAATTGGGTATTTGGTCAAAGTGTTACAAATGATCCGGAGACAGCCGGTGCAGGTGGTCTGAACTATGTTGAAAAAGTTAAATAACTTTGGCTCATAGAACTAGTATCGATAATCACGTATATAATATGAACTATACCATGTGAGAAATCATGCTACAGCAATGTTAATCATATGCAGGACAGGTTTTTTAAAGTGTACCATGTAGCTGGCTACTTTTTTTCCAGGTTATTTAACTAAGTTCACATGATACATGATAGCTTGGCCATATACTAATTGGAAAGGAAAAGAATTCCGAATTACCCATATTTTAGAGCAAGTACAAAGGCACAAAACAGAAAACAAATTTTGAAAACGTTTTGTCATCACAGATCAATCATCAATGTTTTCGAATCAAATAAATTTAAATTAACTCTTTTTGGTGCTGAATAAACAGTAATTTTCAAGGCAAAACATCAAAATAAACAACAATTCACTGCATAGAAAACTTACAGGTCTATCAGTTTGGTTGACACTGTATATCGATGAGTTTTCAGGGATACGCCCTCCTAACAGTACAAGCACACTTCCATCAACTGAGACCCTTTCCCTGCAAGGATGTTCCACCAAGCAAAATGAATCAATGTGAGGCTGCAACCAGCGGCCAGACCGCAATCCTTTTCACCAGTCTGTATCTGGTTGCACTCGGGACTAGTGGGATTAAGGCGGCTCTACCATCCCTGGGAGCTGATCAATTCGACGAGAAGGACCCCAAGGAGGCAGCTTCGCTTTCAAGCTTCTTTAACTGGTTGTTGTTTTCTATCACAATCGGAGCTATGCTTGGTGTGACATTCCTAGTTTGGATAAGTACCAACCAGGGATGGGATTGGAGCTTTGGTGTGTCCACCATAGCTGTCCTGGCGGGTATATTGTTCCTCACCATGGGGAGATCAATTTATCGGAATAATAAGCCCAAGGGAAGCCCTATTATCCGCATTATACAGGTGTACATGGTTAAACAAGTCTATACATGATCTGTGGCTCGTATTGATCTAAAAGTTGGTGCAAGTTGCATAGAAAGAATTGTTTTACAGATTAATCCTCCGGGTTTCAGGTATTTGTGGCTGCCATCAGAAACCGAAAGCTTCCAATACCAGCGATGGCAGAAAAATTGCATGAGACACGTGATAAAGAAGCTGGAATAGGAGCTGAAATTCTTCAAAGAACGGCTCAATTCAAGTATTTCGTTCAACTTCTAGATTCAAATATTTGAATGCGTACAGTAGCTAAAAACAAGTGTGATTCACTAATTAAATTAACCCACCAACCTTTTGACAGATTTTTCGATCGGGCAGCGATTGTTGTTCATGATGCATCCACGCCCAGTATGCCTGGACCCTGGAGGATGTGCACAGTGACACAAGTTGAAGAAACTAAAATTATAGTTCGCATGCTCCCAATTATACTAAGCACTATCCTCATGAACACATGTTTGGCTCAACTCCAAACTTTTACCATCCAACAAAGCAGTACCATGGACAGAAGCCTTCTTGGCTTTCAAGTGCCTGGAGCCTCAATTCCAGTAATCCCCCTAGCATTCATGTTTGTTTCAATCCCATTGTACGACAGAGTGTTCGTTCCGCTAGCCAGGAAGTTCACAGGGATTCCAACTGGGATTCGATACCTCCAACGGATTGGAGTGGGGTTGGTGCTCTCGGCCATTTCTATGGCAGTGGCTGGGATCATAGAAACCCGTCGGAAAAACGTGGCTGAAAAGCACAACATGGTTGATTCCGCGGATCCTTTGCCAATAAGTGTGTTCTGGCTAGGGTTTCAGTATGCTATATTCGGAATAGCTGACATGTTTACATTGGTGGGACTGCTAGAGTTCTTCTACTCAGAAAGCTCATTAGGCATGAAGTCCCTGAGCACAGCAATCTCTTGGTGTTCATTGGCATTTGGGTACTTCACAAGCTCAGTTATGGTGGAGGTGGTGAACAAGGCCAGTGGTGGGTGGTTGGCAAATAATAATCTGAACAGAGATGAGCTGAACTACTTCTACTGGTTATTGTCAGGGTTGAGCATAGTCAATTTTGGGTTTTATTTGGTATGTTCATCTTGGTATAGATACAAGAAGGAAGAGCAGGTAGATTCTAATAGCGGCGGTGAAGCTAAGATAAAAATTGAAATGGGTAGCGGTTAGGTATTTTACGTCTTACTTGCACCGTCCTAAAACTAGCTCACCATGTACCCTTCAATTAAAGAAATTTTGCATCTAAGCAACTCTTCCGGGTGTTGGATAAAGATCAAGGATCAGTGTTTTTCTCCATTTGGAACGAGATTTTAACAAACGGAACCTTCATTTAGAAAATCATAGCAATCAAATTGAGAAAGTGTTGTACACTGCTAATGGAAAGGAAAATATACCGTTTAACTCGTCAAGATAGCTTAGAACAATGTTCAATCTGGCATCACATTTATCAAAAAGAAATGGTAATCTTTTTCTTTTTCATAACTGAATGATTATACTGTTTACAAATCACAAGTATACATTACACTAACCATACAAGAGGTAGGAAAGAGTACAGTCATAGCACATTGTGTGATAAGTGAACCTCCCAACAGAAGCCCCTGTTATTTCCCCTACCATTTCACATCTAGCGTCAGAGCCTCTGGAGGAACAAGTATTGGTGGGATATTGGTAAAGGAAACATTGGACATCAAATTACTCCAAGCCGATGACTCCACAACAGTGAAAGGTTTCATCTTCTTAACGACGAAGGGCTTTAACCTTTCTGCTTCAATTCTTGCCACTACTTCAAACCATGCACTTTCAACAATTGGCCTTGTTCTCCACTCAGCCACTGTAGACCAGAAAGTGTCATTGCTCCTGATATCCCTTTCTATTTCCAATTGGAAGCTAAAAATGGTGGATGCTTTTATTTTTGCATTCACAAAACCCAAAATTGCATTCTGATTGGTTCTGTTAAGTTTTAGACTCCGGAAAATTTTTCCAAGTAATGCTATCCTCAAGCCTAAGGAATCGATAGGGCAGCCTCGCTGCTTGTACATATGTCTAATGTAACACTTCGCTGGCAGCAACTCAATTGTCTCCCTGGAAAGGAAAGCAGTTTCAACATAGGTATCAGGGTTTTGAGTTTTGTAGGCAACCACTGATGCAGAGCCTAGAACACGTAGAGGAAGTAACCGCATACATAATGAATGCAAAAATGACCCAAAATTATTTCTCGCCCTATCAACTAAAGTACTTCCATTCACTTGTTGCTGAAGATCAGATGCGTGATACAGAGACATTTCTTGAGCACCTCTCACTTCTAAAGTAATGCCTTCACCAACCAGGATCCGTTTCAGACCAGTATGGGTAGTATTCAGCTGATAAAAAATGGCCAAAAAGTGTGAAAAGTTAGTAGGAGCAACATAGAAACACTCCGGGATAATTAGATGTGTTTTAGCTTAATGATTCCCAAAGCAACATATTAGAATGCAACCAAACATGAAGTTCTATCCACACAGAAACATCAAGGCTTCTTATTTGATGAAAAGGCATATCACTTACAGAGAAAGGCAGGAAATTGAAGGAGAATGTTTTCAATGATCTATAATCATCATTTAGATCCTCTTACAAGACATAGACAAGAACAAGAATTCATAATAACATACATCTTTAGTTGCAGGGTGGCAAAGCTGGAAGGAAAACAACATCCAAACTGCATACCATTTGTATGAATGATGGTCAAAAGATATCATATTTAATACATAGAAGCAACCTTGGGGACATATGAACAAGAAAATGAATTTGACTAGATGCACCAGGTGAACAGCAATATTCACTTTTGCAAACCTTAGCAACATCAAAGCATCTAGTCCTTCAGAGTTTCAGAAAAATTGGTTTCCTCATATGACAAAGGCACCACAATACAGAGTCAGGAATTAAGTGCAAACATTACAGCACTTATAACATGATAACATTCCAAATGTAGTGCGACTATACACCCATGCAATCTTTTTAATGGATGTTTATGAAGAATCAATCAAGCATTAATGATAGGACAATCTGAAGGATGCTTGTCAAACATCAGATCTTCATAAGAACTTCTGAATATATCTAGATGGCCATGAGGGCCAAATCTTGGTACTCTATTTAGATCAAAACATAAGGAAATGTATCAAAGATTAGCACGAAATGAGTCTTTTGTTTCCATTAGTCATTTCACTTGTTTCCAAGCCTGAACGCTGAAGCCATAAGCATTGCACCCTTCCCACTGGCATGCAAAATATGCTTATATCTCCAATCAATCAAGCTGAATACTTCAGCTGAATACTTCAGCGGAATTGGAATCCAAGTTGTTCCAACACAAGGGGCTCAGAATCCACAACTGGTATGCCTTAGTTTCTCCTTTGTATTTCACGCATGTTACTTGAAGGCTATACAAAGATTAGTCAGAACTATGTATTCTTGAGGCAATGTTAATGCCTATTATAGAGTGCATCAATATGTTCATTGCAAACTAGATGTCAAAGTAATGAATGAAGCCGGAAAATCGAGAGGGCATGCAGTGCACAATTGACATTAATAGGATTCAATTAGCACCTTAAATTCTCTGTTTGTTACTTCACAAACCAGAACACTCTCACACCACCACTCCGGCAATATACCCAAATCCAACTACAGCTGATGCAGTAAGATAAAAACATGAAAAAGAAAATAAGATCAAATAGCACACATTCCCACAACTAGATACGGTAGACTTCAATACAACTGGGATGAACAAGAACTTCTAAAAAAACCCATTAAAAAAAAATCACAGCTTCCGAAAAATCAAAACAGAGCAATCAAATCCATTCAATTAACGTTTGCTTTTCTCAGTAGCCAAAACACATCACACTCTATAAGAACAAAGACAAAAGCATACCGGCAACATCAGCGAGAGTTCATCATCTCCACCAACGCGTAATTCAAAAGGCCCTTGCACTCGAAACGCATCGAGCACTGCCTTGGAACCAACTTCCTTAACCAAAGACTCAAAATCACCTCTCCCCGTCTTAAACTTCTTCCACACAGACTCTTCGTCCAACAATTTGAAAACCAACTTGCCCTTCCCAAATCGAATCCGAATCTCATACCTCTGCAAAGTCCCATACTTGGCCTTCCTCACATCCAATTTCGAAACCCTAATGTCCTCCAGATTCCACTTTTGCCACTCCGAAATCACATCCAACACATCCTAAAAACACAATTAAACAACAAATTAACCTATAATCGAGACTTAAATAATACGATTTTACAGTAATAAATCACACCTTTAAGAAGAGAGAGGGTTCGGGGCGAAGTTCTTCACCGATCTTCGGGTAGCTGAAGTGAGAAATATTGAAAAGTGGAGTAGAGATTGCGAGAGTTAATGCTAGGGTTTGGAGAAGTAAGACTTGAAGGAGAGAGAGAACCAAAGGTTTGAGCATCGTTTAGGGTAGAGTTTGGGTAATCTCTCGTCAACGGACGTCGCCGACGACGATTACTACTGTACGCCGAACAGAGAATAAAATTGATCTGATCTGCTTTAAGTTGAAATGACGATTATAGGCACTACTGAATGAACAAATAGAGCTTCCTAAAGAGGTCATCTGAACCGTGGGAATAAGATCATCGCCTTTCAATCGACGTTTCTCATCTGATCTAGTGGAATAAAAAAGTGATCGTGTGCTAAAGTGCTCGAGTTTAAAAAGGTTACGTTTTATCACAGAGCAGATTTCATCGTCAATTTTCCTTTCTTTCTTTTGTCAATAAAATCCTGGTCGGTCACCTTTTTTTAGGTGGGTCTATTCTTGCACAGTAAATTTGTTTTTTCATCCCATTTAATTATTTTATTTCAAATTATTAAATTCATTCCATTTATAATCATTCAATTAATTATTAAGTTCACATCATTTATACTCATTTAATTAAATTATTAAATATATATTAAAGAAATCAAAAAAAACAAATAATTAAAATAAAATTTTAATATTTTGAGGTGATCTATATTATTTCAAGATATTTTCATATATTTTCACGATGTCTTTGGAATATTTTGAAGTATTTTAAGATATTTTTGGTATATTTTGACTAATATATTAAAAATAATTATTAATTTTTATTTGTTTCTAAAATATTTTTTTGTATCGAAATTAGAGTTGTTAAACGAGACAAGTTTGAACATTTTTTTAAGCTCGTTTATGTGTAAATAATCGAAGATTTAAGCTCAAATTCAGTTCGATTATCACCCCTAACTGAAATAATACACCAAAACAAAATTTTGATCATTGTGTCTATATAGTAAATTGAAATAAGATTGAATGAATTTAATTTCTAATTAGTGAATATAGACGGGTGAAAATTGATGGGAATTAGACTTTAGAATAGTCAAGTGATTGATATATGTACAAATTATGTATTTGAGAGTGCTCTAGTAAGAGAGATTCTGCCCAAACTCTGTCTTGGTTACGATTCCCATGAAGGGGATATGATGACGTGGTGTCGGGGTTATGCGACAATCACGAGTACCTACGTGGATTGATAGTTGATTAACGAGTTGAAAAAGACTACCAATTTGGAGCATCACAGTTTGATATCAGAGTCTAAATTTTCGATTTACCTAGGGCTTGTAGGGCATGAGTCTAAGACATTGCATCCATTATATATTATATGTTGTGTGCATTAAATTCTAAATGTTATGTACTATATGAATTATAGACATGATTAAGTTTGGATGAAAATAGGTCATTAGGGTTAAAAAACATAACTTTGGGGGTTAGAAAAGAAGGAATGGGAAGGCTCATGGTATAGATGTCTACTAATGGATGACGCACACCTTACTAGTGAGATACATAGAGAAATCTCAATGTTTTGACTTTGATCCCTAACTTCGGAATGCTAAATTAGTATTCTATTACTATCTTTACGTGTGTGTAGATGAAAAATAGAGGAAGATGACATCGAAACGGTCAAGAGAGTGGGTGGAATAACAACGAACCACTACCGGCCTTTGATCAACAAACTTTCATGGAGGCTATAGGCACAACGGCTACTACCTTTGCACAAGCTAACTCCAACGTGGGCCAAGAAGGCTTGAATAACCTCTAACATTTTACGGCACACAATCCACTTATTTTTGTGGGAATAATGGATCCGATGGTGGTCAACAATTA